TCAGGGCATATATGACAAGAGCTGTTAGATTTGCGGTCATGCTTCGCCCGGGCCTTTCCTCTGGAGTGGCCCGGCCTGTGTCAACTATTTCTAGTTAACAAGTGATTTCTTTGAACTGCATGCTTATCGTGGTGGCTGAATTGCGAGCAAGCGATCCAGCTGCCACGGAGTAAGCATGTGGCAAACCCTTTTTACCAGCCCGGCGGCTGTGGTGGGTGGTCCGTGTCCTAGGAATAGCGTGTTCATTCCTTTCTTCTATGGTGAACTGTATGGAAGGGTGTACTGCATTGAGCCTGTGGAGAAGATCCGGCAGGTTGGTCCTGGTTGGTACTACATCGAGGATATCGTCCACGTAGCGGAGCCAGATCACGTTTCTTCCCATGATGTTTCTGTAGTGGTCAGCCTCGAGGGTCTCCATGAACAGCTGGGCAAGAACTGCTGAAAGAGGTGAACTCATCGCAAGTCCCTGGATCTGTTCATACTCTCGTCCTCTGAATTCGAACGGGCCAAACTCCACGCAGAGACGGATGAGTCTGATCTATTCGTCTGTTCGCAGTGGTAGGTTGCCTTCGTCCATTCTTGCTAAAGCTCGTTCTGCAGCTTTGATGGCCCCGTGGATCGATGCGCTCGTAAACAGGGACTTGACATCGAAGCTGACGAGCTTTTTGCACTTCATGCCGGTACCTTGCAGTTTGGCCATCATGTCGGTGTTCGATAGATGGCAACCGCTGATGGAGTTTAAGGCGGCAGATTGAAACGCTGCAAGTTTTTTCGCTAGACGGTGTGGAGCACTCCCGGTCCCGTTGGTGATGGGTCTCACGGGGTTTCCTTCCTTGTGGGTCTTGATGCTTCCACGGATCGTCGGTATGCGTGGCGTCTCCTCGAGCTGGTGAAGCATGGACTTCCCCTTCTCAGACCCTCTCAGGACCTTCCTTGCTGCTTCGTTGAATTCAAGGGATCTTGCCTCCGCATTCCCTCTTTCGGTTTGTTTGTAAGTAGAAACCTCTGAGAGCAGTATTTCCATCTTAGAGACATAATCTGTGTTCTCAATAATTACGACACCGCCACCCTTATCAGCCGGAGCAATGTTATTACTATGATTGGTATCATTATTATTATCATTATCATTATTATCATCATCATTATTTTCACTATCATTTTTTATCATGATCATTAGTACTATTATCATTATTATTAATGCTATTATCATTATTGTTGATATCATTTTTCTCTTTATTATCATTATTATTACTCTCATTACTATCAATATCATAATCATTATCATTGTTTTTATCATCATCTTTAATACTTTTGTTACTACCATTATTAATATTATTATTACTATTATATTCATATTATTGTTATTGTTATTTTCATGATATCAATTATTATAATCATCATGATTCATACTGTCATTGTTATTATTATCATTATGCTTATATCATCATTATTAGTACTAGTAATATTATCATTTTCGTTTTTATTACTTCTATTACTATTGTTTTCATTATTGTTGCTAAACTTATCCTCATTATTAACCTCATTTCTATTATTGTTGTCACTATTATTATTGCTATTGTTATCATAATTATCATTATCAATACTGCTATTTCCATTATCATTATTATTACTATAATTATTATCATCCTTATCTGTATTCTTATCCTTATCCTTATCCTTATTATTATCATCATTATCGTTATTACCATTATCATTATCATTATTACCATTACCATTATTACCATTATCATTATCATTATCTCCATCATTATAATCATGATAATCCTACTATCATAACTTTTTCATTAAAATCATTTTCATCACCATTACCATTCCTATTAGCACAAACATTATTGTCAACAATATCATTATCAACACTTTTATCAACACATCAATCGCACTAGGATTGCTTCATTCAAATTCTTTGCTGATATTAGCATTATCAGTGTTATCATAATTATCATCACTATGCCCTTTATCATCATCAGCATAAAACAGAGAATCTTCATGCAATGAAAATCGTTTCAAAAAGTCTTTGAATCTTTTCCTTTATTACTTCCAATATTGAAAAGGTATAAAATGTATGTGTATGTAGCTAGATATTTTATAGGATACACATATGTGTCTGTCCATTTATCCATTTATCCATGCATCTATAGATTAACACACGTGTGTATGTGAATGTGTGTGTGTGTGTGTGTGTGTGAGAGAGAGAGAGAGAGAGAGAGAGAGAGAGAGAGAGAGAGAGAGAGAGAGAGAGAGAGAGAGAGAGAGAGAGAGAGAGAGAGAGAGAGAGAGAGAGAGAGAGAGAGAGAGACAGAGATAAAGAAATAAAGAGACAAAGAGAGAGAGAGAGAGTGTGTGTGTTTGTGTGTGTGTGTGTGCTTGTGCGTGGTGTGTGAGTGTGTGTGTTTGTGTGTGTGTGTGTATGTGTTTGTGTGTGGTCGTGTGCTTGTGCGTGTGCGTATGTGTGTGTAAGTGTGAGTGTGTTCGTGCATGTGTGTTTGTCTATATACGATCGGTCATTTTTTGCCTATCCCCCCCCACACACACATTTATGTCCTATATATTGATGCTTATATATCGTATATCTGATATAATCAAATCCACTGATCACATATCTATACTGCTGGTGTATTCCCTGAACACATACTGAACCGAAGGGGAAGCACGACTACCTCCCACCACCAACAACCCTCTTAAGGGAACAAAGCACCACCACCTGGCCCTCCCGACGTGGCATCCCCACCTAGGGCGCAGCGGCAACACACAAGGGACTCCTCTTCTCGAGACAAAGCTCGTCGCTCATGTAAAAATAGTTGCCGTAGGTGAGGGCGAGGCAGTGACCCACCGGCGGATTCTGGGGCGCCTGCGTGTAGTAGTAGCACTCGCCTTCGTTGACGTGAAGGGTGATGTTACCCTTCAGAGTGATGTTCCTCTTGTGGCACTCCTCCGTGTGTCTGAAGAAGGGGGAGTAGTGATTTGCCGGGTGTTATAAAACTACTGTCACTTAGGTCTTCCCAGGTTTTTTTTCTAATAGTTCCGCCAAACGGATCGCGGCGATATTGCTATCTATATATATGGAAGCTGGAATGAGAGGAATCCGACGATACCAAAATCATCATTTGGCGGAACTAGAAAATACCTTCCCAGAATAACCAGCGTCTCCGTGGCTCCCGTACTCGTGAAACACGCGATGTAAATCATGCTCCACTTTTGGGTTTTGTCACAGATAAAGATTCCAGTCCTCTGAATAAATTCTGATGATAAGATTCTTGGCGATTTTTATGGCTAATGAAAGAGAGGGCATTCAGGTTGCCCCACGACTTCAACACCTATGCATTTTTTCGGATAACGTTAGGTCTGATGTGGAATTTAAAACATGATCTCCGAGGGACACTCAGTTGACAGAAAACTGATGATTCCTGGGTATAGTTAATCTCTCTTGCCGTTCGCATCACTATCGTCATCTTGTAATCCCTTTTAATGAATTATATAACGCTCATAAATGGCTTCTACCCTCCCAAGGTCGTTTCTGTCATCCCTAACGATCAATAATTTTCATTTTTCTTCTATCTCACCCACCACAAGTAATCCTAAAAACGTACGTAGACAAAACAATGAAAACAAAAAAAAAAAAAAAAAAAAAAACTCTTACGCGAAAAAATAGACCTTTACCTGAGGGCCCAAAAGGGGGAACCCAACTCCACGGGGGCGTCGTCCAGCCAGGTCCAACCCTCCGTCTGGTTGCGCAAGAATCCTCCCAGCCAAAAATCGGTTACCATGTCTGCAATGACGAAATCCAGTTGATAAAACTTTTCGATTAACGGTTCAGTCACAGCATTTCCTATTTTTATTTTTTCTTATTTTTTCTTCCTTGTCTTAATTCATTAAAACGTATTTTCCATATTTAATAGACGATAACACACACTACGTAACAAGATCTTCGAATTATGAATTTGATCTAGAATATTTGAAATGTTTGTAAGCCTACATACATTGCCATAGTAAAACGTGGGGGAGGGCACGGGGTACTTGCGGTGGGCGGGGCACGGGTACTTGCTGGGGCCATGGAGCAATATAAGAATTATGACGTCGAGTTTTCTCTCACCTATAGTAGCAACATAAAATTATCTCTCACATGTAAATAAACTAGAATCTTCCAATAAAGCATTCTTGTCCTCTAGCTACGGACACAATTATACTGTTCATAACTAGTAATAATTGAATCTGAAAAGATGACAGTCCCTGGACGGGGCCATGAAGATCATCATACATTGGTCGGGAGCCGCAGAGCGAAAAAAGGGACACCACTGCCAGCATACTTCATACCTCCCCCTCCCCCCCCTACGATCAGATTTTAAACAGTGGGGCACATACACTACAGATCAAAACCCAACGCACGCTTAATCCAAATCCCCAACGCTTATCCACAGACTATCCATCATAACACAAGACCAAAAAGGGGCAACGAGACTAACTGTTTTTCTGCAGGTGGGTAACAAGGGCATGGAAATCTTCGGGGTGTTGCAGCGTCAACAGATCACCGCCGACGATGCTGCAAAAGGCCTTAGCTGCTCCCCAGTCGACCTGTGTGATGGGAGAGTTTTTTTCGGCATCTCTGTCTATTGCTTTTATTCATCTATTTGTTTTATCTATTCATTTACACATTCATCTGTCTCTCTGTCTATCTATATGTTTTTCACTTATTTATCTACCTATACATCTATCGTATTATCTGTCTGTCAGTCTATTTCTCTATTTCTCTATCTATTTATTCGTTTATGTATGTGTGTATCTATCTATTCGTTTATGTATGTGTGTATCTATCTATATACCTACATATTTATCTATTTATATTTAAAGAACATACAACTTCTACTTTAAAAACTGATGCACCTTATACTCGAAATAATTATACAGCTTATACTCAAAATGATTAAACAAATTATACTTTAAAAAGTTGTAATCAAACCTTTGCTGGAAAAAATATGGAGACA